TTTTAGTCTCCGATTTGACTTGGGGGGCTTAAAATTAACTGAGATAAAATTGAAAAATATATAAAAAAACAGTCATATGTACAATTTAAAAATTTTGTCTTAAAAAAGGAAAAATATCCCCTTTGACCCCCATTCCCAAATGGATAATAAATTGCTTCGCTGAGCGCAGCTGGATACGACCGCAGAGGTTCAACACTGAACAGTTGGGGCAAAAATGAACACAATATTCGCGCTTGATACAGGTCTGAATTTGGATTGTAATTAAATATTTGACACATACCAGGTTTCTGACACAGAATAACTGTAGTCAAAGAACTTAGAATTTGTTATATTATTTGAATTTATATTCAATGTTTTGCTTTTGTGCAATACACTATGCTGTTGTGAATTGAATATTTGAAGACATTTTCTTTTTAATTTCTGAAATCTGAAATGAGACATCTTACTACACACAATACTGTGCTATTGCTTAATACTGTGCAATTTAAGATTTCTTGCTATTGCGCAATACTGTGCAATAAGATATTTCTTGCTATTGTGCAATATTGTGCAATTGAAGATTTCTTGCTATTGTGCAATACTGTGCAATTGATGATTTCTTGCTATTGTGCAATACTTTGCAATTGGTTATTTCTTGCTATTGCTCAATACTGTGCAATTGTAGATTTCTTGCTATTGTGCAATACTGTGCTATAGCGCAATTCTATGCAATTGGAAGATTTCTTGCTATTGCACAATACTTCATATGATAACTTGTGTGTTTCTCCTGTCATATCAATATTTTTTGCTTTTACATATATCTAATATAATTGATTGAAAAATGGAAAATTAAAAAAAAAATACATAAAGTTTATGACCCCCCCCTCCCCAATTATTTTGACCCCCCTTGAAGTAATTACCCCCAAACTCAATCCCAGCCTTCTCTTAGAGGTATGGTACCTTGCTGTACAATTTCAGAGAGATCCATACACTTAAACACAAGTTATTATCTGGAAACAAGACAAATGCTATTTTTTTGCCCCTTTATTGGCCCCTAATTCCTGAACTTTTGGGCCAATTACCCCCCAACCTCTTACCCAGTCTTCACATTGAGATATGGAACCTTGTAGTACAATTTCAGAGAGATCCATACACTTACACACAAGTTATTGTCCAGAAACTACAAAATTGCTTGTTTTTAGCCCCTTTTTTGGCCCCTCATTCCTGAACATTTGGGACAATTACCCCCAAACTCATACCCAGTCTTCCCATTGTGATATGGAACCTTGTTGTACAATTTCAGAGAGATCCATACACTTACACACAAGTTATGGTCCGGAAACTACAAAATTGCTTGTTTTTTTATCCTTTTTGGTCCCCAATTTTTTTAAAACCGTTGGTACCATAACCCAAAACCAATCCCAGTATTCCCATTGTGATATGGAACCTTGTGGTACATTTTCAGAGATATCCATAGACTTACACACAAGTTATGGTCAGGAAACTACAAAATTGCTTGTTTTTTACCCTTTTGGGGCCCTTAATTTCTAAACCTTTGGTACCATTACCCCCAAAATCAATCCCAACCTTCCCTTTGTGGTATTGAACTAGAAAAATGCTTGTTTTTGGTCCTTTGTTTGCCCCCAACTCCTGCATGTTTGTGGCAATTACCCCCAAACTCAATCTCAGCCTTCCCTTGATATGGAACCTTGTGGTATAATGTCAGAGAGATCCATACACTTACACACAAGTTATTGTCTGGAAACTACAAAAAATGCTTTTTTTTTTTACCCTTTTTGGCCCTTAGTTCCCAATCTGTTGGCACCATAACCCCCAAAATGTGGCATTAAACATTGTGGTATAATTTCAGACCAATGGAAATACTTTTACACAAGTAAGTATCCTGAAACTAGAAAAATGCTTGTTTTGGGCCCCTTTTGGGCCCCTAATTTCTAAGTGGTTGGGACCATCATCCCCAAAATAAATCCCAACCATCCTTTTGTAGTAACCTTCTTAAAAAATTTCATAGAGATCCATTCACATAAATTCAAGTTATTGTCCGGAAACCAAATATGTCTTTGGATGACGATGCAGACGATGCTGACGATGCAGATGACGACATCATAGCATTATACGAACCCAAAAAATTTTTTGCGGTCGTATAAAAATGTAAACAAGAATATAAGGATGGTATGAGAGCCAATGAGACAACACTTCTCTCTGTCAAAGAAACAATGTAATAAAAGTAAGCAATATATATAGGTTAAAATATGTTTAGTAATAACATGGCTATTATATTATACTTTAATCGTATGAAAAAAAATCATAGAAATTTTAGTATTAACATGATTAAATATGCCTATATACAGTGATATATGTTCATGGACACTTTTTCATACTTAAGGCCATTTTTCATAGGAAAATTGTGGCTTGGACACATTTAAATAAGTAAATATTGTCCATGGACAGTATTTATATTTATTATGGAAAAATTTTTGTTAGACATTATTTCATAGGGAACATTATTAAGTCCTATGAAACCTCCTCCCCCACCCAACACATTCTTTAAATTCCTGTCCAAAGTCAGGAGCCTGTGATTGAATGGCTGTAATTCTTATATTATAGTTTTAGCCTAAATCAGACATAGGTTTTCTCATTTTATTTTATTTTTTAAATTGGTTCATGACTGCCTTTTATAGCTTGCTATAGAGTTTTATGGCTTTAAGGATCATCGTTGAAGATTGTATGATGACCAAAAGTAGCTAGCATCTACATCATTTGGTATTTGGTGTATAAGTGTCTCATTTGCAATTATACAACAACTCCTTACTTTAGCTCACCTGGCCACAGCAAGACAAGAAATATGACAAGGACAAAACTGTTGGTTAACTCTGTAAAGGAGTAATTGCCCCTAATTGATGATTTTTACCAATTTTAGTGTTTTTCCTTTTAATTCAAAAACTATAAAAGATAAAATAAATGGGGAATGTGTCCATAGGGACTCAGATGATGATAACGTTATAAAGGGACATAACTCACTAACTGTATAAGTGACGCTACCAAAATTTGAACTTAAACTGAGTTTTGTGGTAATAAGCATTGTATATACATTTCATAACATTTAGTTGAGACAAACTGAAGTTGGAAACAAAAAATTCAGCAACTTTTCTATTTGTAAAAAAAACATAACTTTTGAACAGTAAAAGTGACGCCACCAAAACTCAAACTCAATCTGTGTTTTGTGGTAATGAGCATTGTGTATAAGTTTCATATCATTTGGTTGAGTCAAACTGAAGTGGGAGAACGTAACAAAAAATTCAGCATTTTTTTTCATTTGTAAAGGGGCATAACTCTTGAATGGTAAAAGTGATGCCACCAAAATTCAAACTTGTCTTGTGTTTTGTGGTAATAAGCATTGTGTTCAACGTTTCATAACATTTGGTTGAGGCAAACTAAAGTTAGAAAACCGAAACCAATTTTGGGACGTACGTACGTACAGACAGACAAGGGTTAAACTTAATGCCCCCTCAACTGCGGCAGGGGCAATAAAAAAATTCAGAGCAGAAATGATCATGAGGACAAGATTCACAAAATAATCACCAAAACAAAATCTTCAGATATTTTTTTTAATATTCAAAAGAAAATGTATGGTTTTTTTGGGGGAAAACTCAGAAGTACTCCATTTAAATGTTATTGTCACTGAATGTTAATCAAACAAGTAACCATGGTAACTACATGTAGTATGTTAATTTGCATTGGATACTGTTGTTTTGTGTATCATACTTTGATATTTTTATATTTTACATCAGATTTTAGTAAATTTAATTCTAAGTAATTAATGAGTAGTTTCTAGTCATGCATCAGTGGTTTTATTTATTGCAAGACTTCTTTCTTCATGGCTCAGTGAATTTTGATCCATTGAGTATTAGTTTACTCTCTAGGTTTAACTAGTTTGTGCTATGAAAACTCTATCTCCTTTATGATAATTGGTTCATTAAGTCGTGTCTATTTAGGAGGGAAATTCTTTTGTTTAGTCAAGACTTTACTCATATTTTGAACTGATTGGAGCTGTGCTGTTCCTTATATAATTTTATTCAAATTTGGTGGACATCTTTGATTTTTTTTCTAATAAGGTCAGTGTTCCATAATTAATACCTCACATGCCTTCTAATATACTGATATGAATTAATGTATTACATTAATGATTTTGTTTGAATGGTAAAAATGAATGATTTCAGAGTAAAAGGTTCAAATGAATGATTATTATGAAACACAAAAGCACATATTTATAAAATATTGGTTTAATCAGATAAGTCTAAATAATCATTTTATAAGAATTTATGCCAAACAATATTTGAATATCTCGGTTATTGCCAAAAAAATTAAAAGTAATTATGTATTGGACCCCCCTTTTTTTTTAACATTTAATGTAAATGAATGGGGACATATGGTTGGAAACCCCCTCCCCCTTTTTATCCTTGGTTGGAACCCCCCTCCCCCTTATGTAATTGCTGGATCCGCCCCTGGAAACATTACAGCTTAAAGAAACTTCAAATTGCAAAAATGATCAACAAGACAATATCTACAAACAAGTCAAACTTTAACGAAATTAAAAACTACTCATTATTAGAGTTATTGACTGTTTAATGATGACTTTTATCATTTGTTTTCCTTTTCTGAAAAACAATAATAATATTTTACATTTAACTATTATAGATAGAAAGCCACTTTAATAGCAAAAATGATCAGCAAGACAAGATCTACAAATATGTCAAATTTTGCCAAAATCTTGATTGCCCTTAGGCTTATATGACAAGTTTGCACAAACCAACACACTCCCTAGAGCCATCTCGTTGATATTGTCTTATTAAATGAACAGAGTTATCTTTCTTTGTACTGATTATTAATATTGCAGGGTCAGATTTTTATTATACTACCAAAACTACTCAGTTTTGTACAAATATTCTAAATATAATATGCCTATTTATTTATCCTAATTGACATGTTTTTATGTTTTGCAGGAAATTTCTATTAGTAAATGAATCAAATGAAGAATCTTCATGGTTAAATGCATAGAAAGGATATTTGAAGAGAGCCAATGATTGACATAAGGAGAAGCAGTTATGAATTTTGAAATTGATATAAAGGAGAGGTCATTCATCACAGAAGATTTAATCAAAGTTTACAGGTAGGAGACTTGATCGGTTGATTTTTATCAATAGTCATAAATAAAAAAGATGTGGTACTATGATTGCCAATGAGACAACTATCCCTGAGAGTCCAAATATTGCAGATTTAAGCAATGGTATGTTACTATGGCTTTCAACAATGAGCAAAACCCATACCATATCTTCAGCTATGCATCTGCTTAGACATTGCTTGTTTACTGTAATGTGGCAAATGTTTAATGCATATTCAAGATGATATAAAATGTTAATAGATGTAAATAACTTAAGTAGCTTCTAAAAATTTTGTAAAAATTGTTGGAGAGGGGAGGAACTAGCTATGGACGAAAGATAGGTGGTGGTGGCAGTAAAATTTGCTTTGCAACAAACCATCTGCAGATTCTTCATATAAAAAGTTGTTACACAGGAGACGACCAGTTATTGAATAGAAATAGAAACATTTGCGTTCTTGTATTATCACTCAAATTTCCAGATCAGATCGAAATTTTTCTGTTAAATATATTGGTATGCAATCCTATACATGCTATAAGCATTTGCTCATCTCATTTCTATGGAAATTACATTGTACTGTTCCCTCATCATAGTTCATAATCTATGAAAAGTTAGTACATGTATCAGAAAAATGTAATTAATATAGGTTCAAGTTTGTGCTTTATCCAGTTTAGAGGGAACCGCTTATAAATTTTAGTCAATGAATGGTAGTTTTGGTATAAAATTGTATAAGAATGATTAGCATTGGCATTTCTTGTCTTCGTGGAAATTATTTAACCCTACATCTCAGTCTTAATTCATTGACATTGGCTACAGAATGTTTGCATTGTCACAAACAAAAAGAAGACATAGGTCTTATACTTCTTTGGCATTATGGTTTACATGTTTTATGAACAATTGCCATTTGAAATTCAGGAGTAACTTCAAGATATAATTTTTTTTATTCATTTTCCATATTCTACATGGACTATTGGACTAATATTCATAAATTCCATATTTTACCTGGTACTATTATACTCATCAGTTTCTAGGGTCAATATTTTGACCCTACTGTATAGATTTGTTTTTTACTGAAAAAACATATTGGCATAAAGGGACATAACTGATCATGAAGAATGGTAAAAGTGATGCTACCCAAATTTGTACTTGAACTGAGTTTTGTGGTAATAAGTATTGTGTATTATAACTTTCATACCATTTAGTTAAGGCAATCTAAAGTAAGAGAACTATATGACCTCAAATGCATTGATCGTTAAAAAAAGGGGGGTTCCAACCCCAGCAACCCTCCCCTGGATCTGCCATAATGGGGCCTCGGTGGCTGAATGGTCTAAGTAGTGAAACTACTGTATCACTAGCCTGTAAATAGATATAACAATGATATCATACTTTAACTTTTTTTAAACCTGTTTATTTACTTTTGACTTTAATTATTTGTCCCTGGTAATTTTTTATTAACTGTGTATTTGCATTCAGGTGTCACAGGTCAAATTTATTTGTTCATTATGTGTTAATTTACGTTTTTTGATTGAGTTAAGCCTTCCAATTGATATTTTATAGTGTGTTTTTCTATGTTGTGATGTTATACTATTGTTTCAGAAAAGGGAGAAGGTTTGGTACCATTAAAACGTTTAATCCCGCTGCAAATGTTTGCACCTGTCCTAAGTCAGGAATCTGATTAAAGTAGTTGTCGTCTGTTTATGTAGTTCATACATGTTTCTCATTTCTCGTTTTAATATAGATTAGACCGGTTTTTCCGTTTGAATGGTTTTACACTAGTAATTTTTTGGGGCCCTTTATAGCTTGCTAGCTTGCTGTTCGGTGTGAGCCAATGCTCCGTGTTGAAGGCCGTACCTTGTCCTATAATGGTTTACTTTTATAAATTTTAACTTGGATGGAGAGTTGTCTCATTGGCACTCATACCACATCTTCCTATATCTATATAAGAAGTTATCCCTGGCTCAGTATACTTCTAGGATATTGATTGTTTAACACACATGGTTACAAAACCCATAGCCGCTGGGTGTTGCTAAACCATATACCGGGCACTTCAGTGGCGTAGCCAGGTTCTGTGTGCAAAGCTCTGGTAGGGGGCAAAGCCCACCTGAAGCTCAGCGAATTAAGTAAACACAAAGAAGAATTTTGTTGTTGGAAATTTATCTGTTCTGTCTAATTTTCTTTAGAATTATATGTAATGACAGGGTCCAGTTATACCTCGATAAACGGACATGAGTGTTGGACTGATTCAGTGACGACAATTTGTTTATAAACCAGTATAATGCTGCTCTACTAATTTGCCTATTGAATATGCTAGAGAACTCGACGGAGACAATGACCTTCAAAGAGTGATGCAAACAATTTTGAAATATATGTAGGCTGTAACATAATATTATGAAATAGATAATACATTGGCTTAGTCATAGGCCCGATCGTTGCTGGTTTTAGGCCGCTATGACAACACCAAAGCAGTCAGCTGATTACGAACAAGTCAATACAGAAAAGGTGCACAAATAAAACCAATAGTTATGCATTTTTAAGATTGATTAGTACGAGGAAAAGGAAAAAAAAACAATCCAATTATTCAAGTTTGCTTGACATACCGATAAATGGGAATAAAAGGAAATGGTTACACGCAAGCGAGACAGCATTTTATCGACATAGATAAAAAAAAAACGTCAAACGATATTAACAAACGTCCTCCAACAATGGACAAGTGTCTAAATAATATATATCAAGCTCTAAACGGGCCAGAGCAACACAGTTGTGAATACAATTTGCAGAGACTATAAAAGATCTGTCATTGACACCAAATTTCAAAAATGACAAAATTATAAAGATAGAGTGACTTCCTGACTTCATCTTGGGTAAATCACATAATCATGAAGCGATGTGAAACGAATTTTTGAAATCGGTATCCTCCAATTTTTTTCAATGTGAATTAACGAAATTGTGGTGTATATATAAGACAGCAACCAAACGACACACAAAAATAATAAAAGACGTCTAGAGGTCAACGCATCTGGTTTTTAACTTGTTAACTGATAAGTGATTTGCAAATAACAACAATTTACTGGTTTCATTTAAGCAACCAACATTTTTCTTTGTTTGGTATTATAAAATATGTCAACAACTTCTTTTCAAATCAATTTCAAAATCAGCATGAATGTGCAACAGTATTAGAGAAGATGGCCATTATTGTCCCATTGTATATCTAAGATAGGTTTTAACCCGTTTCAGTTGCAGTTGTTGGTGGCATAGTAAGAAGAATTCTACAGTATATATTAGAATGCAGTTCTGTGTTTGTCGTTCCCAATGTTTCATATAGTTGATCTGGTATCTTTCAACGAGCAACATATCTTTGGATCTCGAGAGGCTCATTGGCGTGATATATATACGCAACTGATCTTCGCGTTTTAACTCTTTAACATTCTGTGGAATTAGAAGGTGGGCGAGAAACATTTCCTCTGAAATACCAGTCAATCGGTCTTTAAATTCGTTTAGAAGATGGTATATGAACTGATGTAACTGATGGTAAAATATGGAAAAGTTTGGGTATTCTTATAAGTATCGATGAATAAATTGTATTTATCGATACTCCCTCACTCTCACACTCTTTCTCAATTATTCTTTAAAAAAAAAGTCTTTCAAAACTTTTTTTTTGCCTGTTTGTTTGTGCATGCAAGTGCGTCGTTGCGTCAATAGTAGCTACGCCACTGCACTTGAACGTTGCTACCCAGTTTTCCTTAATTCCATGGTTGTTCCTTGTGAAATATTGAATTCTGTATATTATTCATTATGTCTAACAATGTTAGTCTGTTATGCCAATCATTTGCACTCATTTTTAGTAAATGCATCACTTAGCTGCTACATTCAGTGGCGTAGCTACCTAAGGCTCGACTAGGCACGTGCCTATACATAAATTTGCCAATTATATACCCTTTTGGAATAAAAAAAAAAAATACACATTGTAATTCTAATGCGTATTATTATTTATACGGTGCCCGTCCATATTCAAACACCGATCTGTACCCTTCGGTGCATAGGATTATTTTGATTTTATTGACAATGCCCGTTTCATCGGCAACTAGTGAAAGATCCTTCAGTGCGATGCGACGCATCAAGTCCTACCTGAGATCGGAGATGAGCGACTTTCTAATCTATCCCTTCTTCATACCCACCCACACCTCAATGTTGAAGTTGATGACTGATTTTATTGGCTGAAAAAAAACGTTGACTTGACTTTGAATAAGTGTATCATTGACTTTGTGTATGAAACTGGATCTGAAAGTTATTCATATAAGTTCAGAAATTTTAGATTTGTTTAACCAATTTTTCCCCAATGAGTTAAAAGATTCGTTCGAAAAAGTTGAAAATCATTTCCCTTGACCCTCTGTGGGCCTTAAGCTTAAAATAGTCCAAACAAATTTTGGCCTCGCTCTCTGCACGCTAATAACACTTGCAACAACTCTTTGAGGGGTCTGCTGAAAGGCAAAATATCTGTCCCTATCCAATAAAGATCAATAAACCCTAATTTTCCAATGGCATTTTCAAAAGTTCAGACCTTCATCCTGGACGACCCCTATTACAGGACCTAGTGGCTAACTGTTGTATTTACTAGTATCGTAAATTTGTTTTTGTCCTGATCATGCAAAACTATTTGCCACTGGATGTTTAGCAATAAATCAATCAACTATCTTCCAGTAATCTCAGATCTGTGTGTAATGACCACATTAATTCAAATTCCTAAGCAGGTAGGGATTTTACAGTAGAGGATATAAGAAAATATGAATTTCTTGAATATTGTTACGATAGTATGAACAGAACAGAACTTCTGCATTAGGCATCGACTGTGTGTGTGTTTGTGTGGCTGGGGTGAAGGTTTAAGAATCAAAAGATCAATGGTTCAGGTTGATGTCTACCCCAAAGCATAGTATTATTATATAGTAATCTCAGTGTTTACGTGCCTATTTTAAGCTCACCTGGGCCAAGTGAGCTTTTCTCATCACTTGGCGTCCGTCATATGTCATCTGTCGTCCGTAAACTTTTACAAAAATCTTCTCCTCTGAAACTACTGGGCCAAATTTAACCAAACTTGGCCACAATCATCATTGGGGTATCTAGTTTAAAAAATGTCTACGATGACCCGGCCAACTAACCAAGATGGCCGCCATGGCTAAAAATAGAACATAGGGGTAAAATGTAGATTTTGGCTTATATCTCTGAAACCAAAGCATTTAGAGCATTTTGTTTATCAGGTCAGGATCTATCTGCCCGGAAATTTTGACAAATCGGACACCCCGTTGTTGGGTTGCTGCCCCCGATTTAGTAATTTTAAGGAAATTCTGCAGTTTTTGGTTATAATCTTGAATATTATTATAGATAGAGATAAACTGAAAACAGCAATAATGTTCAGCAAAGTAAGATCTACAAATAAGTCAAATGACCTAAATTGTCAGTTGACCCCTTAAGGAGTTATTGCCCTTTATAGTCAATTTTTAACCATTTTTCAAAAATTTTAGTAATCTTTTAAAAAAATCTTCTCCTCTGAAACTACTTTGACAAATTTAACCAAACTTGGCAATCATCATCTTAAGGGTATGTAGTTTTAAAAATGTGTCCAATGACCCTGTCCACAAACCAAGATGGCCGACATGGCTAAAAATAGTATATAGGGGTAAAAATGCAATTTTTGGCTAATATCTCTGAATTTAAAGCATTTAGAGCAAATCTCATTCATTAAAATATGTTCATTAAGTCAAGATCTAACTGCCCTGAAATTTTCAGACAAATCAGGCAACCTGTTGTTGGTTTCCTGCCCCTGAATTGGTAATTTTAAGAAATTTTGCAGTTTTTGGTTATTATCTTCAATATTATCTTAGATAAAGATAAACTGTAAACAGCAATTATGTATAGCAAAGTAAGATCCACAAATAAGTCAACTTGACCAAAACGGTCAATAAGGAGTTATTGCTTTTTATAGTAAATTTTAAACAATTTTCGTAAATTATGTAAATTTTTGTAATTTTTATACGACCGTCAAAAAATTTTTGTGGTCGTATATTGGTATGACATTGGCGTCTCCGTTGTCGGCGTCGTCGTCCGAAGACACATTAGTTTTCGCACTCTAACTTTAGTTTAAGTGAATGGATCTCTATGAAATTTTACAATAATTTTACAATAAGGTTCAATACCACAAAAGGAAGGTTGGGATTGATTTTGGGGGTTATGGTACCAACAGTTAAGGAATTAGGGGCCAAAAAGGGGCCAAAAATAAGCATTTTTGTAACTTCCAGACATAACTTGTGTGTTAGTGTATGGATCTCTCTGACATTGTACCACAAGATTCCATATCACAAAGGGAATGCTGGGATTGATTTTGGGGGTAATTGCCTCAAAATTTTAGGAATTAGGGGCCAAAAAAGGGGCAAAAAACAAGCAAATTTATATGGACAAATACGTTAGTACAAAACATAATTTAAAGCAGTGTACGGGAGATAAATCAAATACATCATTTGAATTATCTCCCTTACACTGTTTTAAATTATGTATAAAGTAATGGTTAATGAACAATTAAGACAATTTAAAACAGTGTAAGGGAGGTAATCCACATACAACATTTTGATTACTTCCCTTGCACTGCTTTTAAATTATGTTTAAAGAAATGCATATTTATAAAAATATCTGCAAATGTTGCATCTTTTTTTTTTTTACAAAAAAATCCATATGAAAGATTTGACACCATATTTTAAATTCTGTTATAAAATAGATTAAGTTAGCACTATGGTAAATTTAAATGGGAGATTATGACCATATCTTGAGGGAAAGAATTTTTGGGGGGAAAAAGGGGGGGGGGGGAAAAGAAATTGTGGGGGTCAATTTTTTCTCATTTCAGATTTCAGAAATTAAAAAGAATTATTCTTCAAATATTATTTTTTTTTCAAATTTCAAATATTGAAAAATTTCAAGAAGTAATCTTTAATTGCACAGTATGGCGCATTAGATTTGTAAAATCTTTGACCACATTTATTTATTTGTTATGCCAAATCTGACCATGTATTTAGATTTTTAATTTTGGGTCCAGTTTTCAAATTGGTCTACATTAAGGTCCAAAGGGTCCAAAATTAAACTTAGTTTGATTTTAACCAAAATTGAATATATGGGGTTCTTTGATATGCTGAATCTAAACATGTATTTTTGATTTTGGTCCCAGTTTTCAAGTTGGTCCAAATTGGGGTCCAAAATTAAACTTTGTTTGATTTCAACAAAAATTGAATATATGGGGTTCTTTGATATGCTGAATCTAACCATGTATTTAGATTTTTTATTTGTGGGCCCCACTATCAAATTGGTTCATATTGAGGTCAAAAGGGTCCAAAATTAAACTTTGTTTGATTTCATCAAAAATTGAATTATTGGGGTTCTTTGATATGCCAAATCTAACCGTGTATTTAGATTTTTAATTTTGGGTCCCGTTTTTAAATTGGTCTACATTAAGGTCCAAAGGGTCCAAAATTAAACTTAGTTTGATTTTAACAAAAATTGAATTCTTGGGGTTCTTTGATATGCTGAATCTAATCATGTATTTAGATTTTTGATTTTGGGCCCAGTTTTCAAGTTGGTCCAAATTGGGGTCCAAAATTAAACTTTGTTTGATTTCAACAAAAATTGAATATATGGGGTTCTTTCATATGCTGAATCTAACCATGTATTTAGATTTTTTATTTGTGGGCCCCGCTATCAAATTGGTTCATATTGAGGTCAAAAGGGTCCAAAATTAAACTTTGTTTTATTTCATCAAAAATTGAATTATTGGGGTTCTTTGATATGCCAAATATAACCGTGTATTTAGATTTTTAATTTTGGGTCCTGTTTTTAAATTGGTCTACATTAAGGTCCAAAAGGGTCCAAAATTAAACTTAGTTTGATTTTAACAAAAATTGAATTCTTGGGGTTCTTTGATATGCTGAATCTAAACGTGTTTAGATTTTTGATTATGGGCCCAGTTTTCAAGTTGGTCCAAGTTGGGGTCCAAAATTAAACTTTGTTTGATTTCAACAAAAATTGAATATATGGGGTTCTTTGATATGCTAAATCTAACCATGTATTTTGATTTTTGGGCCCCGTTATCAAATTGGTCCACATTGAGGTCAAAAGGGTCCAAAATTAAACTTTGTTTGATTTCATTAAAAATTGAATTCTTTGGATTCTTTGATATGCTGAATCTAACCATGTATTTAGATTTTGGATATTGGACCATACTAGGAAAATTAAAAAAATTTAAGTTCTTAGACCACATTCATTCTGTGTCAGAAACCTATGCTGTGTCAAATATTTAATCACAATCCAAATTCAGAGCTGTATCAAACTTGAATGTTGTGTCCATACTTGCCCCAACTGTTCAGGGTTCGACCTCTGCGGTCATATCAAGCTGCGCCCAGCGGAGCATTTTATTTACAAAATATTTTCCTTTGAAACTACTGAGCCAAGTTCATTATAGATAGAGAAAATCGAAACAGCAAGAATGTTCAGTAAAGTAAGATTGACAAACATCATCATCATCACCAAAACATAATTTTGTCATGAATTCTATTCTCATCTATTATGTATGTCCTTTGTTTAGTATGAACATAGACCAAGGTGAGTGACACAGGCTCTTTAGAGCCTCTAGTTTTGTACTTATATCAGGCCATTAGTTTTCTTGTTTGAATTATTTTACTATGGTAATTTTGGAGCCTTTTATCTATGACCATGTTCTGTGACTTAAAGTAGTTAATTTCTGTGCCATTTGGTCTCTTGTTGAGATTTGTCTCATTGGCAATCATTCCACATCTTTTTTATTATCATTTACCAATTATTCAAAATTGATTAAACTAAACTTTACATATGAATGGCTGATTAAACTTAAACATGCATACTTTAGGGATAATAAATCTTATTTTTACTTTTCAGTATGTTGAGAGAAGTTCAGAACAAGCAATTTGGTTGAAGAGGAGTTGTCAACACGTCATCTTTGAACAAGGTCAATTGTATTAGAAGTGAATCCTTAACAGAAATGAGACAATAATCAAATAATTCAAAGACTACATGGATGTTATCTGGACTAGCATTTGTATGACCTAAATGTGGTATTTTTCATATGAACACTTACAAGGCAGATAATAGTCTGTGACAAACATTTGTATGCAATTAAAGACTTGAAGAACTTGTACGGTATTCTTCAGATTTCAGTAGAATTTGTTTAAAACGGTACATTCTTGGTATGAATTGAAGAATTTTTGCTCATTTAACAGTCAGGGGACTTACTTAAATGAGTGATTTTCTAAATCACTGATTCAAGTAACATTATGTCCATAAAGGTTGGAAGTAAGAGTTGTCTTTCTTTAATAATCACCTATTTAAGTAGTACAAATTAATCACTAGACTGAGTGATTTAATTTTATTGTAGCTTTAAATATAGAATAATAATGATCCAGGGACTAATTATGTTGCTAAAATTATCAGAACCAACATCTGTGTTGATAGGATGACCGGGTCATGTCAGGTGATGACCTTGTACTAAATCTAGGATAATGACATAAAAATCACTTGTTTAAGTATCATACCTCAATTTCCTTCTTAAATATCACTTCTTTAAGTATCATTATTTTAATAACCCCCACTAATTTCAACACCCCCAAACAGTGAAATTTTGATCGCAAACAGTAGAATTTTATTACATAATCTATAAGATGAAACCTTGAATTTTACAGGAAAAATACACCCACTGCTGGGAAAAATCTGTTAAGAAAGTATCAGTTCGTTATGTAAAGCCATTTTTATAGCATTTTTTCAACAAAAATAGAATTTGCAGCTAAATGATTGCACCAAAGGCATAAACCTTGCTGCTTAAAAGAAGCAAAAAGTTCATTTTTTTCAATTTTACTAATGAAAAGATATTATCTAAACCTATGTGTTTAAAATTTTGGTAAAACTACAAAATCACAATTTGTGACAAAACTTCGAATTTGCTACTTAAATAGGTGATTTAAAAATCACTTATTTCAATAAGTCCCCTGACTGTTTAAATGAATTATGAAAATGTTTTATATGTTTAGAATAAACAAAAACAACATAAAAGATAGAAATTTTTTTATTTTCTTTCTTGAAACTTATAACAGAATAAATTGTCATATGCTAATTCTTGATAGATGTACTGCCAGAAATTTATCAAGTCTATTTTTAGCCTGAAAGTGCAACTCAATGCACGGGTTATACACACAGGAAACTACATTTATCTCTCAACCATATAAAAAATAAGGATATATGGAAGGGTTGCCAATGAGAATAACTATCCTTGAATGCCAATGATATCTTATAAACTATATAAGATATCTCATTAACTATATAAGATATCTAATAAACTATATAAGATATCTTTAATATAAACTATATAAGATATCTCATTAACTATATAAGATATCTCATATAATTTTATAAGATATCTCACATATTATATATAGTTAAAGATATCTCATATAGTTTTTAAGATATCTCATAAAATTTATAAAATATCTTTTAAACTATATGAGATATCTTATAAAATTCAGAAGATATCTTATAAAGTATGTAATATATCTTATATACTTTATGAGATATCTTATATATTAACATATCTTATATATTATATGAGATATCTTGAAATTCGAATAAATAGTAATGACTTTCCACCTAAGAACAAGTCATTGTTAAATAGATATAAGAATATGTGGTATGAGTGCCAATGAGGCAACTCTCAATCCAAGTCATAATTTGAAAAAGTAATGATTAAAGACTAAAATTGAGAATGGAAATGGGGAATGTGTCAAAGAGACAACAACTCGACCATAGAGCAGACAACAGCTGAAGGCCCCTTATGGGTCTTGAATGCAGCTAGAAACTCCCGCACCCTAATGCGTCCTTCAGCTGGCCCCTAAACATATATACTTGTTCAGTGATAATGGACATCATACTAAACTAATTATACACAAGAAACTACAATTGAAAATCATACAAGAGTAACAAAGGCCAGAGGCTCCTGACTTGGGACAGGCACAAAATTGTGGCGGGGTTAAACATGTTTTTTTGAGATCTCAACTCTCCCCTTATACCTCTAGCCAATGTAGAAAAAAAAATCGCACAAAAATATGCACAGTGAAACTCAGTTTAAGAGTTGTCTGAGTTCGATGTCAGAATATGAAACAAAAGAAAATAAACAAAATGACAATAATACATAAATAACAACAGACTACTAGCAGTTACTGACATGCCAGCTCCAGACCTCAACTTTTTACATTTTCATATCTTTCTGGTTTTACTTTATAGTTGAGTTGCTGTCACACTGTGTTTACCGGAATGCCACATGTTCTTCAATCCTTAAGAAAACCATCAACAATTTCAAAACTAGATATATTTTACAGAGAAGTTATTTCACTTCTTAACACAGGCATCTTGGAATCAAGGTTTTTGATATTATTTCACTTCCTACCACAGGCAACTTGGAATCAAGGTTTTTGTTATTATTTCAGTTGTAAAAATTATTTTCAGTGACTGACATGAAAAACATGACAACGTTATGTATCAGTTAGCATTGGATACTTGTGTATACGTATGACGAAGTTAAGCCGCGCTCTGTGTTTGGGGTTCACAGATACTATACCTCCCTTTTAGGTATAGGAACGTCCCCCGTCATACGTATCAAGTATCCATTCTTACTGGTACGTTAAACTGAGAGTGAGGTGGCTCAGTTTGACTGATGTGCGATGGCTCAGTCAAAATATTTTTTGCACCAACTGAGAGTGAGGTGGCTCAAGTCTGCATGTGAAGCTCTGTAACATGCTTTTAAGGGAAAACTGAGAGCGAGGTGGCTCAGTCTGCATGTGAAGCTCTGTAACATGCTTTTAATTGTAAAAAGTATTTTATTTGTTTTTATCCAAATTTTAATTTGGGATATTTTACTGTTTATCCAAATTTTAATTGGGGATATTTTATTGTTTTTACTGGAACAAACTGAGAGTGAGGTGGCTCAGTCTGCATGTGAAGCTCTGTAACATGCTTTTAATTGTATATTTTATTTGTTTTTATCCAAATTTTAATTGGGGATATTTTACTGTTTTTATCCAAATTTTAATTGGGGATATTTTATTGTTTTTACTAGAACAAACTGAGAGTGAGGTGGCTCAGCCTGCATGTGAAGCTCTGTAACATGCTTTTAATTGTATATTTTATTTGTTTTTATCCAAATTTTAATTGGGGATATTTTACTGTTTTTATCCAAATTTTAATTGGGGATATTTTATTGTTTTTACTGGAACAAACTGAGAGTGAGGTGGCTCAGCCTGCATGTGAAGCTCTGTAACATGCTTTTAATTGTAAAGTATTTTATTTGTTTTTATCCAAATTTTAATTGGGGATATTTTACTGTTTTTATCCAAATTTTAATTGGGGATATTTTATTGTTTTTACTGGAACAAACTGAGAGTGAGGTGGCTCAGCCTGCATGTGAAGCTCTGTAACATGCTTTTAATTGTATATTATTATTTGTTTTTATCCAAATTTTAATTGGGGATATTTTACTGTTTTTATCCAAATTTTAGTTGGGGATATTTTATTGTTTTTACTGGAACAAACTGAGAGTGAGGTGGCTCAGCCTGCATGTGAAGCTCTGTAACATGCTTTTAATTGTAAAAAGTATTTTATTTGTTTTTATCCAAATTTTAATTGGGGATATTTTACTGTTTTTATCCAAATTTTAATTGGGGATATTTTACTGTTTTTACTGAAACAAACTGAGAGTGAGGTGGCTCAGCCTGCATGTGAAGCTCTGTAACATGCTTTTAATTGTAAAAAGTATTTTATTTGTTTTTATCCAAATTTTAATTTGGGGATATTTTACTGTTTTTATCCAAATTTTAATTGGGGATATTTTACTGTTTTTATCCAAATTTTAATTGGGGATATTTTATTGTTTTTACTGGAACAAACTGAGAATGAGGTGGCTCAGCCTGCATGTGAAGCTCTGTAACATGCTTTTAAGGGGAAAAAGTATTTTATTTGTTTTTATCCAAATTTTAATTGGGGATATTTTACTGTTTTTATCCAAATTTTAATTGGGGATATTTTATTGTTTTTACTGGAACAAACTGAGAGTGAGGTGGCTCAGTCTGCATGTGAAGCTCTGTAACATGCTTTTAAGGGGGAAAATGAGAGCAAGGTGGCTCAGTCTGCATGTGAAGCTCTGTAACATGCTTTTAATTGTAAAAAGTTTTTTATTTGTTTTTATCCAAATTTTAATTGGGGATATTTTATTGTTTTTACTGGAACAAACTGAGAGTGAGGTGGCTCAGCCTGCATGTGAAGCTCTGTAACATGCTTTTAAGGGGAAAAAAGTATTTTATTTGTTTTTATCCAAATTTTAATTGGGAATATTTTACTGTTTTTATCCAAATTTTAATTGGGGATATTTTATTGTTTTTACTGGAACAAACTGAGAGTGAGGTGGCTCAGTCTGCATGTGAAGCTCTGTAACATGCTTTTAAGGGAAAAAAGTATTTTATTTGTTTTTATCCAAATTTTAATTGGGGATATTTTATTGTTTTTACTGGAACAAACTGAGAGTGAGGTGGCTCAGCCTGCATGTGAAGCTCTGTAACATGCTTTTAAGGGGAAAAAAGTATTTTATTTGTTTTTATCCAAATTTAATTGGGGATATTTTACTGTTTTTATCCAAATTTTAATTGGGGATATTTTATTGTTTTTACTAGAACAAACTGAGAGTGAGGTGGCTCAGCCTGCATGTGAAGCTCTGTAACATGCTTTTAAGGGGAAAAAAGTATTTTATTTGTTTTTATCCAAATTTTAATTGGGGATATTTTACTGTTTTTTTTTCCAAATTTTAATTGGGGATATTTTATTGTTTTTACTGGAACAAACTGAGAGTGAGGTGGCTCAGTCTGCATGTGAAGCTCTGTAACATGCTTTTAAGGGGAAAACGTATTTTATTTGTTTTTATCCAAATTTTAATTGGGGATATTTTACTGTTTTTATCCAAATTTTAATTGGGGATATTTTACTGTTTTTATCCAAATTTTAATTGGGGATATTTTATTGTTTTTACTGGAACAAACTGAGAGTGAGGTGGCTCAGTCTGCATGTGAAGCTCTGTAACATGCTTTTAAGGGGAAAAAAGTATTTTATTTGTTTTTATCCAAAGTTTAATTGGGGATATTTTACTGTTTTTATCCAAATTTTAATTGGGGATATTTTACTGTTTTTACTGGAACAAACTGAGAGTGAGGTGGCTCAGTCTGCATGTGAAGCTCTGTTACATGCTGCTTAGTGGAAAAAAGTATTTTATTTGTTTTTATCCAAATTTTAATTGGGGATTTTTTACTGTTTTATCCAAATTTTAATTGGGGATTTTTTACTGGAACAATCTGAGAGTGAGGTGGCTCAGTCTGCATGTGAAGCTCTGTAACATGCTTTTAAGGGGAAAAAAAGAATTTTATTTGTTTTTATCCAAATTTTAATTGGGAATATTTTACTGTGTTTATCCAAATTTTAATTGGGGATATTTTTCTGCATTTATCAAAATTTTAATCGGATATTTTACTGTTTTTATCTAAATTTTAATTAAGGATATTTTACTGTTTTTATCTAAATTTTAATTGGAGATATTTTACTGTTTTTATCCTAATTTATAAGTTGAGGCAGGTCATTTTATGATTATTTGGGAAATGAGGGACTTTTTATTTACATTATTTTATCCATTTGGGTGTGGGGGACAAAGGGAATATTTTACTTTTTAAGACCAAATTTTAATTTATACAGGAGACCTTTTTTTTTTTTATCTTTTTTTAGTTAAATGTTGAGCCCCCAAGTCAAATCAAAGACTTAAAAACTGGTACTCCAAAAGGAAAAGATAGGTGACCTACTGTGGGCATTTGTCTTGGTGAACTAGCACCTTAAAGTCCAGCTAACCCACAGGCTGGCTGGCTAGTACAAGCAGACAGGTATTTTTAATACCATTTGGCATTTTTAAACTTTGGCATTTTTCATTTGGCTTTTTGTTTTATGTGTTTTTGAACTATTTGGATTTATACCATTTGGCAATTTTCATTTATGTTTTTTTTTCATTTTTTTCAATATATTTTGTAATCAACACACCAAAAACACTTCAAAATTAAGAGTGGGATATATACTTTTTGGCCTCCATAATGTTTATCAATCAAAACAGCATTCTATTTTCAAATGTACATTACACAATTTGGCTTTCTGTAACGTTGGCTGTTAATCTTTTGTACGAATGCTATGATGACCATTATGTGTAGAAAATAAGACTACATTTCTAAAAGTGGCTCAGGTTCATATATTTATGTTTGATATCAATCAGTTCTAAATTTCCTTCACATTTCTAAAATTTTAAGATCTTCCATATCTGGTACATCTTATGATATCGTATTCATCTACTAACCCAATTTTCTCATAGGGACTTAACACGAAGCAGAAGGGGTATTAGGTGGTAGGTGGTTAAGGGTGTTATGATAGGGTGAAAGGGTGAGAAAGGGAGGGAGAAAAATAGAATGATGGAGAGGGTGATTGTATATGATTGTGAGTGGAATATATAGAGGGAGTTAATCTGTGAGAGAATGTGATTTCATAATAAGGGCAGGGTGTACTGGTCTGGAAGTATAGTTTCTGTTTTGTCTCATGTAGTTTCTGTTTTCTACATCAATCTGATAAGTTTAAATATTGAGAAATTGCTGTCGTCTAAAAGTTCACAGGTTAACAGCCTTTCTTGTTACTGTTTATGTGCTGCTTATATATAAATATTGTAGCACTTCTCAGTAGCTAGATAGAGTTGTGGCTTTTCATCAAATTAAGCAGCAGCTTCTGTACAGTTCATGTTGGAATGATACCAAGTGCTGTGTTTTTCTTCCAAGTTGAGAACATTTTTGATCTTCATGAACTAGTAATTACACATGATGAAGCTTTTTATGGCCCGCAACAAATATGGCCTCTCAACAAAGCTGTCGGGGCCATATAGTTTTACCCTTGTCTGTCATTCTATCATTCCATCTTTCCATCAATCCATCTTTCCATCATTCTGTCATTCCGTCATTCTGCAACAAACCATTATACGGGCTTTTTTTCTAAATGCCTTCAGATATTAGGCTGATTTTTGGTATGTGAGTTCACCATGATGAGTTTTAGATGAAGTTTTAGTTTCGTTCTGGTCCGCTAATTTTTGCCAAAATTACAGGCTTTGGACTTCGATAAATTGTTGAAAATCACAGTTATACAGACTTTTTTTTCTAAAGGCCTTCAGATATTGGGCTAATTTTTGGTATGTGAGTTAACCATAATGAGTTACAGATCAAGTTTATGTTTAGTTCCGCTTTGCTAATTTTCCCCCAAATTTTTTTTAAAGCCTGAAGATTTTGAGCAGAATTTTGATATGTGAGACTACCATCATTTTTGTGTTCACATGTGTTGTTGAAATTGCAGATTTTTCAACTTTTTGAGACAGGGCCATTCGTGTCGTTTCGACACATCTAGTCTTTTTTTGCAACATGTTTTTTTTATCAACACTACCAAAACACTTCAAAATTAAATATACACTTTTGACATTCATAATGATTATCAATTATTTTCAAATTTACATTAAATAATTAAATAACTTTAGTATAAGTAAATAGAAATGTATGAAATTTGAACACAAGGTTTATAACCACACAAGAAAGGTTGGGGTTGATTTAAGGGGTTGTGTTCCCAACAGTTTAGGGATTTAAGGAGGCAAAAAGGGGCCCAAAATAACATTTTTCTAGTTTCCAGACAATAACTTGTGGAACATTGTATGGATCTCTCTGAAATTATACCACGACTTTCCATTCCTCAAAAGGATGGTTAGGATTGGCTTTTGAGGGTTATAGCTTAAACCAATTAGGAATTAGGGGCAAAAAAAGGGGGAAAACAATGATTTCCTGTTTGACGGACTATTACTTATTTAAGTACATGAATGTAACGTTTGAATTACATCCCTTACACTAATTTTAAATCATGTATAACGAAATGTATTGTCTTGAGGTGATTTGCTGCCAATTTGTTTTTAGAAAAAAGTAAAATCACAAAAATACTAAACTCTGAGAAAAATTCAAAACGGAAAGTCCCTAATCAAATGGCAAAATCAAAAGCTCAAACACATGAAATGAATGAATAACAACTATTATATTCTGACTTGGTACAGGCACTTTCTTATGTAGAAAATGGTGGATTGAGCCTGCTTTTATAACTAGCTAAACCTCTCACTTGTATGACGGTCACATCAAATTCCATTATATTGACAACGATGTGTGAATAAATCAAACAGACATAACAGGTGAAAATGTCAAAAATACAGCCATCAAGAGAGAACTAACTGTTTTAAAAAAGAATTTTAGGATGTATTTAAATGGGTAATTATGGTTGCAAATTCTATTTGGAATTTTAAATTTTAAATTTTAGATTACAGAAATTTCAGAAATTAAAAAGACATTTTCTTTAAATATAATTTATTTTTGCCAAAAAAAAAGGGGAGGTGTCAATAAACAACAGCATAATAGTGTATTGCACAAGAGCAAAAAAAATGAGGGGTCAATACGCAACAGAAAGCTTAAGGGGTGTATTTTTTGGGGTAGGGGGGTCAATTCGCAACAGCATAGTGTATTGCATATAAGCCAAAAAATTTAATATAAATTGAAACATATAACCAATTCTAAGTTCCTTGACTACAGTTATTCTCTGTCAGAATCCTATTATGTGTCAAATATTTAATAACAATCCATATTCAGACCCAAGCGCGAATATTGTGTCCATTTTTGCCCCAACTGTTCATGTCCGCGGTCGTATCTAGCTGCGCTCGGCGAAACAATTTATTATCTTTGAAATGTTTTGTAGGAATTAATATTCTGCTTCACAGAAATACAAAACAAGTGGGTCATTAGGGATGACCAATAAGTACCCATAAGTGAGACTATATAACAAGGTTGAGAAAAATAAAATTTGGTACATTATAAACCTATAATAATGTAAGCTCTGTACAGCTTTTTACCAACGAACAAATAAAAGGCGTATACAGTTCATGTAAACAATTTAAGACATGCAAATAAAATAAAATGCATATCAATGTGAAAGCATTATTAAGTGAAACAAGATGTCACAGTGCTCATGATAGCAACACTGAAAAAAGCACAGTTAAATTGAGCCGGAATATAAAAGTAAAATCAAAGCAAAGGAGAAAAATATAAAGTACCGATGATAAAAGTATGTATGCAGTACCAGTGAAGATCCAGAAATTTTGATAAAGGGGGTGGTAGTGGCCAAGAGGGGTCCCACTCCAGTCATGCTTCACTGATCCCTAAATAACTTAGTTAGTCAAACGAATTTTCCTACAAAGGGACCTGGACCACTGTCCCCCACTTAATACGCCTCTGAGTACAAGTCATATTTTATGCCCATTATAGAATGACACGATTTCCCCGCTATAAATAACATTATCTTTAGTTTAGAATAAACAGTGTTTTCACAAGGTTCAGTTACAATTCATATTACATATAGATTTTTCTTTTAAATAATCATAACAGATATAAGTTTTAAGAATGTTCTAATTTACGAAAACAGGTTTGGTATTCGAATGATAAATAAAACTGTTATTATAATAGTTTCCCAAAATAAAACCTTCCTCATTCAAAATATCTCTTGACCATTGGCTATCGAACGGAGCAACTGGAGTACTTCTGTTTATTAAACAAAACCAACCGGAAGTTAGGTTGTTGTCGTGACTATTCTACCAAACTCATCCGAAGTGCAATATTGTTGTGTGATTTTACTTTATTCACGTGCTTTAGATAGATGACAACACAAATTACTATCAAGATAGATAAACAGAAGCTAAATTTTATTTACAATTTAAGTATCCAAATATTGTATGCTTTGTCATTACATAATTCAACCGACTAGATCTACAACAACCTATTCTCGGGAACCAGGTTCTGTAACCAACATCCTACAGACACTTGGCTGGCCAACACTAGCAACACGCAGGCAAGGAGCCAGGCTTATACTCCTATATAAGATCCTGCATGGAGAAGCATCGGTCATTATCCCAGATTACATCAGGAGACCAACTGTAACAACCAGACAATACCACAGGCACAGAGACAGGTTTTCCAGAGTTAGCACTTCAACGGATGCCTATAAATACAGTTTCATCCCCAGAACAATTTTTTGACTGGAACCAATTACCTGAAAGTGCCATCCAAGCCCCCACAACAGACGCCTTCCGGGTCTGTGTGTGGCAGTTCCTGGTGTAACTATTGATACCTGATTTTAACCCTGTACAGTTGTTGCAAACTCACATAATTTTATTTGATTTTGTTCCTGTAAATACACAAGCTTTTGTTTATTTTTAACTTGGCGTATACTGGTTGACACACCCGCACAGTATATCTGTGTTATGGAAATTTCAACTGCAGATTAACCACAAAATATAGAAGAAGAAGTACAATGAACACTAGACAACAGGAATGACAGGATATATCTTCTGGGGGGTAAATGGTTAAAACTAGATATAAACAGATTAACTTACTAATGTTCTATTATATACTGGTAAAGTACTAGGGTATCAGGTTGTTCTGGCCCAAAATCAATCTGGCCCCAAAACAATCTGGTTAATTACACTGTGACCAATATTTACGACGGAAGCTTGATCAAATGTCGACAGCCCATTTATGGTATTCAACAGCTCATTGGTCAGAGTTCTAGTCAAATCAGTATCCGGTCAAATCGGCACCCGGTATAGTCAAATCAGCACCTAGTCAAATTGGCACCTAGTTAAATGGCACCTGATGTAGTCTTTAGGCACACATGATAAATATTGGATTGATTTTGGGGTTGATGGTCCCACCGGTTAAGTAATAATAGGCCCAAAAAGGCCCCAAAACAAGCATTTTTCTACTTTCAGGATAATAACTTGTGTATAAGTATTTCAATTGCTCTGAAATTGTACCATAATGTTTAATACCACAAGTAAAAGGTTTGGATTCATTTTGCGGTCTATGGTGTCAACAGTTAAGAATTAAGGGCCCAAAAGGGGCCAAAAACAAATTTTGTAGTTTCTGGACAATAACTTGTGTGTAAGTGTATAGATCTCTCTTATATTGTACCACAAAGTTCCATATCACAAAAGGAAGACTTAGATTGAATTTGGGCATTATTGTCCCATTCATGCAAGAATTAGGGGCCATAAAAGGGCCAAAAATAAGCATTTTTCTAGTTTCCAGACAATAACTTGTTGTAGTTTACAGTCAATAACTTGTGTTTAATAATAAATCTCTCTGAAATTATACCACAAGTTTCCATACTACAAAGGGATAGTTATTGGGGGTTATGGCTTAAATCATTTAGCTATTAGGGGCCAAAAAAAAGGGGAAAACACGTGTTTCAATTTAAAAGCTGTGTTAGGGAGGTAATCCAATTCAAATTTAAAGAATACTGTTATATATATGTTTGATTACCTCCCTTACACTGTTTGAAAATTATGTATTAAGAAATGATGATTGTCTTGAGATGATAAGCTGTAATTTTTTTTTAGAAGTAATACTATTCATTTATATTAATTTTAACCATGACTATGTCATTTTATATTTTTATATTTTATGATGTATTTATTAAATGAGTAGTTATTGTTAAAAACTCCATAAGAAATTTGAATTGAGATTATTATTGGAATAAGGGAAAAGAGAAGATGAAAAAAAAAGGGGGGGGGGGGGGGTAGGGGTACAATTTTTCTCATTTCAGATTTCTTTAAATATTTTTTTTTAGGGGATTAATATTCAACAGCATAGTGTATAACTCAAAAGCAAATACATTTTTTAAGTTCATTAGACCAGTCTTCACGCTTAACCAAGTTTGGACTTGTAAAATTCTTCTCTACAAGCCAACAGAATCCAACTAAAATTTTCAAGCTTCGGGCTTGTGGACTCAAAAGTTAATTGTGAAGGCTGTTAGACTACCAGAAACCTATGCTGTGTCAACTATTTAATCACAATCCAAATTCAGAGCTGTATCAAGCTTGAATGTTGTGTCCATACTTGTCCCAACTGTTCAGGGTTCGACCTCTGCAGTCGTATATAGCTGCACCCTGCGGAGCATCTAGTTACTTTACATTAATATTTGAAGATTTGAACAAATCAAAGGGGAAACCAGGAATTATCTTGCATAATATGAAAAAGAAGATGTGGTACGATTGCCAATGAGAAACGAGCCAAAAGAGACCAAATGACACAGAAATTAACGGCTACGGGTCACCTTACGACCTTTAACAATGAGCAAAGCCCATACATATAAGTTCTTTCAGTAATTTAACATGGCCTAAATACCTTTGCTTACCATGATAAAAAGTTGTATAATGGAGATAAAGGGTATAATATATCAATGAGACAGCAACTTAATGACACAAAAAGTAAGAAGACATTTAAATATCAACACCAAAGCATCAAAGTCCATTTGGATTGTATCTAAAAACCACAGGGTTAAGATTTTAAATACCTGGTTAAACTGTTGTATAACATTTCAAATACTGTTAATACAGAAATTATTGTATGGTTTTTATATTGTGAATGACATGTTTTTTTTTACTGACCCTGGTTATCCATGAGGGTCTTGCATGGTCGTATATGTGAATAATGTATCTGGGTGGGTATCACCAGGTGTATATGTATACACAATATATTGTGAGATGAAGCATAGCCAGACAACTGCCAGGGGCGTAGCTGGGTATCCAATAAACTGTAGGCACAAATTGTGGCAGGGGGTCTGGGGCCCCATAAGGCCCCTGGTAAGGGGTTCTGGGGGCGTAGCCCTCCGACGGAAAACGGTTTTCAGCATTTAGGTTGCAAAATTTTGTGTACAAAAAAACATAAAAAAACGTCATTTTATCATGATAATATACATGAAAACAATGTCGAAAAAATAAACATAATTCTACAATTACATCTGACTGATGAATTAACTGGCAGTACAATTGGAAATATAAAAAAAAACAATATTTCCAATATGCATTGCCCAGCGTGGATCAGCGTAGCCCTTTATTAAGCAGCACAACCTGTTTCTGATTGAGTATAATTGATATATACATCAATTGATAGTACATATTGACGATCCTTCATTAAAAAAAAAAAAAATAGGCACGTAAACACTGAGACTACTACATAATAATAATAACTTTTGGAATACGGCGCATCGACCATTCATATTTTGATTCTTAAACCTTCACCCTCCCCCGGCCACACAAACACATACACACACACAGTCAATATGTCATGCAGAAGTTCTGTTCTGTTCATACTACCAGTGTCTAACAAAATTCAAGAAATTCATATTTTCTTATATCCTGTACTGTAAAATCCCTACCTGCTTAGGAATTTGAATAATTATCGTCATTACATGTAGATCTGAGAGTACTCGAAGTTACTGAAAGCTAGTTGATTGATTGATTGATTGATTGATTGATTGATTGATAGACATCCAGTGGCAAATAATTCATGCATGTTCAGGACTAAAACAGATAGAGGTCGTCCAGGATGAAGGTCTGGAAATTTGGAAATGCCATGCATTGGAAAATGAGGGTTTATTAAATAGGAACAGAAATTTGCCTTTCAGTAGACAACCTACTAACCCCTCAAAGAGTTGTTTCAAGTGTCTTAACGTGCAGAGAGCGTGGCATTCTTTCTCTCTTCACTAGGCATCAGATTGAACTTGGGCCAACAACAACTAATTAAAAAAAATCATTTATCTAAGTTGAGGTTCATTCAAGTATTTGTTGATTGAAGTGAATTATCTGAACCAAAGTTCTAGTTTAAAGTTATATATATTAGGTGGAATATAATGACATACAGTTCCAATACGCCACTGATTCAATAAGGATGATAGACTAGTGTACGCATGACATTCGATAATGAAAGAGTTTTGACGAATTCACATGCATCTACAGATAACATTGTTTATTACTTGTTTTAATAAAATAATTATTTGTGAAAAATTATGTGTAGGCACGTGCCTAAAGTGCCTAACGGCAGCTACGCCCCTGACTGCAGTTAATTACGTTTATTATATGCATTAAATTATAATTACTTTTTCATGTGATAGAAAAACTTTATAAAGTCATAAAGTAACGATTATGTGAAATTATCTAATTGGTTTTTTCAGGAAAGTAACTAAAGTTAACTTTAAGTGCAGTATATCTGTGGACATTTTTTGTTCTGATAGTAATATTTTCTTTCTCTTTCACAATAGATGGATGGTAACTGAATCAATACAAATAGCCTCATTGAATTGGAAAAAGCTGCAAATGATATCAGTAACAAAAGATTGTTAGTGTGCAGTGTGCAGACAGTGGTTAAACAGAAGTTAACATTCTATCAGTTTTGGGATTTTACAATCAGCTAGAGGAAATAATAGGAGAAAAAGGGACCTGTGTGGTAAAAACTTCCTAAAAGTCGTCCTTTATGTGTTCAACTTTTTCTTTTGGGTAAGTGTATTATATATATGTTTATAGTTATAGAAAAGGCAACTTAAAAAGATATTACAATTTAAATGATTTATTGATTATTGGTTGCTTAGAATCATCCATTGGCAAATATTCTCTATGCATGTTCAGAACTAACTATATAAAGTATAGAATTTGTAAATGTATAATATAAGACAAGAGAAGATATAGATACATGTTAATTGAATAATCTCCCTTTGTTCTTTGTTCAAATTAAATGAAATTCTTCCTTCATTGTTTACTGTATTCTGTTGCTAGTAAGATTTTATAACCATGCTAACAGGATAAAAGATCCTAATATAAAATTATTTCTAATTTTTCAGCTAACATTGCTAACTTCAAATTACAATAATATTCCGTTTCCTAACTTTTCTTTATCATGTTCTGTCAATTAATTAAATGTTCTTTAAAATTCAATAGTATTTTTATGCATGATATATTCTATATTTCTTTTCCAGCTGACAGCCCGATTAGCTTTCCTAGCATTAGGGTTATATATCAAGTTCCAGAAGCATACCTATATCAATCTGCTAGGGAACAGTACTTTCCCTTTGGCAACATACTTGCTACTAGGAACAGGAGCCTTTATTATCTTGTCAGGAATCATTACTTGTACTGGGACATGTATAGAAAATAGATGTTTTATGGTTATGGTGAGTTATTTCCCTTTGAACACATTGTCTACTAAGAATGTATACCAAAATTAAGTTTTTTAACTTTTCACAAGCAAAGCCAACAATAAATTGAAAAAAAATCATTTCAGCTAATTCCAATTACATGTTATTTTACTTATGATTTTTATGGATATAATGTTGTATGGTCTGTTCGTCTGTCTGTTTTACTGAGGCAGTGAGACTTTTTTGTAAAAAAGCCTCAAAAGCTATATTTTGTATTAGAAAACTGTTATTTTCTGAAGATATTAATGTTTTACCTCACCTCAAGCTTTTTGATGCTTGTGTTAAACCTATACTTCTTTATTGTAGTGAAGTTTGGTCTCTATATATGATTAAAGATATTACAAATCTAGAGTCAAAATATTGGTCATTGGCTACCAATAAAATTCAGATTAAATTTGCAAAAACTTTAATTGGGGTAAATAAAACAGCTGTCAATTTAGCAGTGCTAGCTGAACTTGGTATGTATCCAGTTTTTATAGAAGCATTAAAACTGTCAATTGGCTTCTGGTTGCATGTGATAAAATCTGGTAATAATTGTTTACTTAAAGATGTATATAGTTCAAACCTGCAATTAACCAATGGATTTGCGAAAAAGATTGAACAGCTACTTGCTACATTAAATTTTTCACATGTTTGGGAAAATCATGATACTATTTCAAAAAGGCGTTTATTATATGCACTTCATACCAAACTTAATGATAGATATCTGAATTATTGGAAAGAAAATATTTTTTGTGATGATAAATCATTGCACGGTAATAAGCTCAGAACATATAGGCAACTTAAAGAAAATTACAAATTGGAAACCTATTTATTGTTAAATATTGACAGAAAAGTAATAGGACATTTTGCCAAAATTCACATAAGTAATAGTGTTCTTAAAATTGAACAAGGACGACACACTAAAACACCTGTAGAAGAAAGAATTTGTCCCTTGTGTCTTTTAGAAGTAGAAGATGAATTTCATTTCACTATAATATGTACAAAACTAAATACAATTAGAGAACAATTATTTTCCAAAATTAGTGAAATAGTTCCCCCTTTTTTAAATATGACTAATGAAGCAAAATTTAAATTTTTGTATACCTGTGGTGAGACTGATATAATTAAAAATTATTGTAAAATCATAAGCACCATGCATAATTCTAGAAATGCTTTATTGAGTACTTAATAACTTTGTGGTACCACCTCCTCAGCAGAGATTATATACATTCATTTATTATTAAGTCTCCCAAACGAAGTTTGGGAAGACTTATTGTTTTTGCTCAGTTCTTATTATTATTATTATTCTTCTTCTTCTTCTTCTTCTTCTTCTTCTTCTTCTTCTTCTTCTTCTTCCGCCGCTTTTAAATTTGAACTTGTCCGCACCCGTTCTCCAAAACCGCTTGTCGGATTAACTTAGGGTTTCACAATATGTTAGACTAACATGTCTAGTGGTGCAATCAGGGTTTTGTTTTTGCAATGGGGTTTATAAAGGGGTACTTTGAGGGGCAAAAAGAAAAGAGGGTTTTACTATAGAACCCTATGGGATTTTATTTTTTTAAATTTTCAAATGATTATAAATTGAAAACCGTTTGTGATAGACACAAACTTTTTAATTGAAAATGTTCTAAAAGATAAAGCCCATTAAATGAAATACAGGGTTAGTCCCCAGGGGTCACCCCCACCCCCTGACATTTAAGAAAGTTCTAATACCTTGTAAGTGGTCAAGATCCCCACCCCTAAACCATATATATTCTGGTTTGTCATGCTAAGATGGTTTGAATGATATACAGGGTTAGTCCCCAGGGGTCATCCCCACCCCCTGTCATTTGAGAAAGTTCTAATATCTTGTAAATGGTCGAGATCCCCACCCCTAAACCATATATATTCTGGTTTGTCATGATAAAGCACATCAAATGTAATACAGGGTTAGTCCCCAGGGATCACCCCCACCCCCTGCCATTTAAGAAAGTTCTAATATCTTCTAAGTTGTCAAGATCCCCACCCCTAAACCATATATATTCTCGTTTGTCATGCTAAGATGGTTTGAATGATATACAGGGTTAGTCCCCAGGGGTCATCCCGATCCCCTGCCATTTGAGAAAGTTCTAATATCTTGTAAATGGTCGAGATCCCCACCCCTAAACCATATATATTCTGGTTTGTCATGATAAAGCACATCAAATGAAATACAGGGTTAGTCCCCAGGGGTTACCCCCACCCCCTGCCATTTAAGAAAGTTCTAATATCTTGAAAGTGGTCAAGATCCCCACCCCTAAACCATATATATTCTGGTTTGTTATGCTAAGATGGTTTGAATGATATACAGGGTTAGTCCCCAGGGGTCATCCCGACCCCCTGCCATTTTAGAAAGTTCTAATATCTTGTAAATGGTCGAGATCCCCACCCCTAAACCATATATATTCTGGTTTGTCATGATAAAGCACATGAAATGTTATACAGGGTAAGTCCCCAGGGGTCACCCCCACCCCCTGCCATTTAAGAAAGTTCTAATATCTTCTAAGTGGTCAAGATCCCCACCCCTAAACCATATATATTCTGGTTTGTCATGCTGAGATGGTTTGAATGATATACAGGGTAAGTCCCCAGGGGTCATCCCGACCCCCTGCCATTTGAGAAAGTTCTAATATCTTGTAAATGGTCGAGATCCCCACCCCTAAACCATATATATTCTGGTTTGTCATGATAAAGCACATCAAATGTTATACAGGGTCAGTCCCCAGCGGTCACCCCCACCCCTTGCCATTTGAGAAAGTTCTAATATCTTGTAAATGGTCGAGATCCCCACCCCTAAACCATATATATTCTGGTTTGTCATGATTAAGCACATCAAATGAAATACAGGGTTAGTCTCCAGGGGTCACCCCCACCCCTTGCCATTTAAGAAAGTTCTAATATCTTGTAAATGGTCGAGATCCCCACCCCTAAACCATATATATTCTGGTTTGTCATGATAAAGCACATCAAATGTTATACAGGGTAAGTCCCCAGGGGTCACCCCCACCCCCTGCCATTTAAGAAAGTTCTAATATCTTCTAAGTGGTCAAGATCCCCACCCCTAAACCATATATATTCTGGTTTGTCATGCTGACATGGTTTGAATGATATACAGGGTAAGTCCCCAGGGGTCATCCCGACCCCCTGCCATTTGAGAAAGTTCTAATATCTTGTAAATGCTCGAGATCCCCACCCCTAAACCATATATATTCCTATTTGTCATGTCTCGAACATTTGAATGACGTATACGGTCAGTCCCCAGGGGTTCCCCCCACCCCCAATGTTCTAATATCTTGTAAATGGTTGAGATCGCCACCCCTAAACCATATATATTCCTGTTCGTCATGTAATGAACATTTGAATGACGTATAGGGCCAGTCCCCAGGGGTTCCTCCCCACCCCCAATATTCTAGTATCTTGTAAATGGTTGAGATCCCCACCCCTAAACCATATATATTCTGGTTTGTCATGCCAAGATGATTTGAATGATATACAAGGTTAGTCCCCAGGCATCACTAATGCATATAACTTTACTGGACCAAACCAATTTTCAATGGACGTTGCCCAATGTCAGGCGACCCTGGGAATTACGAATTATGGGAGCTTCGTTTGGGAGACTTCGTAACAGCATCCTGTTACAATCATTTCTTGTTGTAACAATATTTTCTTTTTATAATGGAGGGGATATACAGTTATATATATATAATGTTTATAAATGTGGTCAGATTTTGTTTTTTATGTTTTTGTATTGTCTTGGTAACAATCCTATAATTTTGGATTTTGAACCAATAAAATTATCTTATCTTATCTTATCTTATCTGTCAGTCCAAATAGATTTTTAGGTTGTTTACATTGACGTTGTGGTCTTATCAACATGAAAATAAGGCCACATGATGTGAAATTACTATGGTATTAGGCCTATTCCACGGTCCACTAAACATTGAAATTTATCATAAACATGCTGCTAATAAATGCCTTTAATAGGCTAGGTGCATTTTTCTATATTTTTTTTATCTTAGGAAATTACTATTGAAACATTGTTTATCTGTTATCTTGAAGTTATCGTTTGAAAAGGATGTATTTTTATAGAGATGACTTAAGCCAAACAGAAAGTCAGACTAGAGGTCACATGTCTGGCATTTCATTCTCCTGTCTCATATTCTAAAATGTTATGGATAATTAAAACATTGTTGTGATGTCATTCTATTGTTTTACCCGTTCTTTATTTCAGTGATTGGACTATCATTAACCTGTAAGAAACCATTATGTTACCTTTAGCTGTCCAATATTTTTAAGAATAGACCTCCTCTTTCTAAAAAATATTGCACAGCTAAAGGGTAGCATTACTGATTCTTACAGATAAATGATAGTTCAATCACTGAAATAAAAAAAAAACTATTAATTACCCCAATTGTTTTCATCATGTAAACAAAAATAAAACCAAAGATCAAATGACAATTAAAAAAACATTTTATTAAAGTCACCTTCCAATACAATAATTTTGTCACTCATTAAAACGGTTTCTTGAGAAAAAAATCACTTTCAAATTGATTTTTGTCTCGCTTGACGGAGTCAAAAAGCGAGACATAGGTATGCTGTTTCCGGCGGCGACGGCGACAGCGGCGTCAACAATGTATTAGTTTGTGATTATGTCTAGTTTATGGTGAACCACTAGTGGTAAGTCAAAGATATTTGGTATGCAGTTGTATTGGTATTGGCACATCTCATTACCATGGAGATTATTTGGCCTCACCCCCTCAGTCATGGTCTATTGACTTTGAAACTTTGCTTAGTTTTCATGTATTAGTTTGTGATTAGGTCATTTTATGGGGAACCACTAGTGGTAAGTTAATGATTATTGGTATGCAGTTGTATAAGCATTGGCATATCTCATTTCCATGGAGATTATTTGGCCCCGCCCCCTCAGTCATGGTCTAATAACTTTGAAATTTTTGCTTAGTTTTCATGTATTAGTT